AGTGTGGCTTTTGCTTCCCTTTCTGCAAAGGGTTTTGTACCTGGGAGGAGGTGAATCTTGGCTGTGGGGCTGCCCCTGACACCTTCTCCCCCCCCACCCCGTCCCTTCCAGGGAGCAGGCGGTGCTGCTGGTGAACCCCGGCCTCGGGGACAAGCTGCTCTGTGGGGCCACCGACCAACTCCTGGAAGGCTACGTGGCCCCCGAGGAGGCCCGCCTGCAGCCCGTCACGTGGGAGGAGGCCACCAAGGAGGAGCAGCGCCTGGGCGTGCGGCTCAGGCTGAGGTTCGGGAAGGTACGGCCTGGGGTTAGGGTTAGGGAAAGCCCCCCCCCTCCTTCTGCGCCCGTCCCCCAAACCTCTCTCCTCCCTCAGCCCCTGAAGCAGGTCACCTGGCACAGGAAGGGGGACTACTTTGCCACGGTGGTCTCGGACAACAGCCACCTGCAGGTGCTGATCCACCAGGCCAGCAAGCGCTGGAGCCAGGCGCCCTTCCGCCGGAGCAAGGGCCAGGTGCAGCGCGTCCTCTTCCACCCGCTGCGGCCCTTCTTCTTCGTGGCCACCCAGCGCTTCGTCCGCATCTACCACCTGCTGAAGCAGGAGCTGACCAAGAAGCTGCTGACCAACTGCAAGTGGGTCTCCAGCATGGCTGTCCACCCCGGAGGTGAGCGAGGGTCCCGGGGGCCACAGCAGGGGGCGCTCGGGCCTGCCCCTCCCATGGGCACAGCGGCCCCCTCAGCCTGCCTGTGTGAGGGGGGGCCCTCCCGTCCCTGCCTTGGCACAGAGGGTGGCAGCCTCTCAGCCTGTGCCCCAACGGGCCCTCCTCTCCTCAGGCGACAACTTGATCTGTGGCAGCTACGACAGTCGGCTGGTCTGGTTCGACCTGGACCTCTCCACCAAGCCTTACCGGGTGCTCAGGTAGGCAGCAGCCCTTCCCCCCCCCGCCCACTTTCCGGCCAAACTCCCCCTCCTCCAGCCCCTCCCCGAGGGCGATGGGGGTGGGCTTCCTCCCCGGGGACATGCTGCTCACTCACGGCTGAGCCTGGGCGGCTAGGTCTGTGCAGCCGGGACGCCGGCATCCCCAGGGCAGAGCGGCTCCTCCAGCCTTGTGCCTTCAGCAGCCCCGCCCGAGGCTCCAAGCCAGCCCTCCCCTCCTGGGGCAGACCCAGCCGCCTCCTCCTCGCAGGGAAGGGCATTGTGGGGGGGCTGCCGGGTCACGCTTTCCCTTCTCCGGCAGGCACCACAAGGCGGCCCTGAGGTCCGTGGCTTTCCACCCGTCCTACCCGCTTTTCGCCTCCGGCTCGGACGACGGCAGCGTCATTGTCTGTCACGGCATGGTCTACAAGTGAGTGCCTGCAGTGGGGAGGTGGGGCACTTGGCGCCAGGGGGCAGAACTGGCACCGCTGACCACTTTCCCCCTCTCCTTCCAGCGACCTGCTTCAGAACCCGCTCCTCGTGCCGGTGAAGGTGCTGAGGGGCCACGCAGCGGCTCACGACCTGGGCGTCCTGGATGTCCTCTTCCACCCCTCGCAGCCATGGCTTTTCTCTGCGGGCGCAGACGCCACCGTCCGGCTCTTCACGTAGCCCTGCTCCGAACAGACTTGGCAGGAGAGAGGAAGCCGGGGTTGCCGGACCCCCTGTGGGCTCCTTTCCCTGGGAGGCCGGAGCTTTGGATCCAGGCGAGGAGGAGGAGGAGGAAGCGGCCACTGGGCCAACCTCGGACCTTGCAGGCCTCTGGCTGGAAGGGGGGGAAGCAGGGGGGGGCTCCTAGAGGGCTGAATACTCAGAGGGGCCACTGGGGGCTCTTCTGCGTCCTCCCGACGCCCCCTTGGGAAATAATAAAAGTGCCTGATTTGACCAGAACCAGAACCAGGGAGTTGCTGAGCTGCCTCTGATCCTGAGCCCTCCCCAAAGGTCCTGGCCCTCGGCTGTTTCCTCCCCTTCTGCAAGCTCTGCCTCTGCTAAAAATGCCCCCCAGCCCAGCAAGTCAGGTTTCCTGCTCAATCAGCACTTCATGCACACCCCCACCCTCCTGGCAATCGAAAAGGGGTGCAAGGGGGGGGGTGCTGTACAGAAAAGCCCCCCCAGACCTGGCCCTGACTTCCATGGCCAGAGGGAAGCCAACTCTCTGGGACCCTGAGGGCAGCTACGCCTGTCCCATGAGGAGCCCCCTCCTCCTGGCTGCCTTCCATGGGTCCAGCTTGGCCCTCCCGTTGGAAGCCCTTGGGTGCTCAGCTCCTGCACAGCGGGTGCATTTCCTTCCTGGCTTTTGGGGCCTGGATGGCGAGAAACGTCCCTCTTCCGTGGTGGCTGCTCATTGGGCCAAACCCCTGGCGTGGGGGGTGAATGTTGAGGTTACGGCCCAGGAGCCAGGGCAGGAGAGAGGCCCACCCCCAAAGGGGACGTCCTAAGGGCAGGGCTGTGTCTTTGTGGTCCTCTGGGGTTGACCAGGGGGCGTGGGCACAGGGGCCCTGAATGCAAAACTGGCCCAAGGGGCGGGGTGTCAAGTGGGGAGACGGAGGGGGTGGCCCAACAGAAGCAAGGACCCCTGAATCTGGGGAACTGGGGGGGGGAGAGGAGGGGGAGGAGCAAGTGGCCGGAGGGGCCCTGCGTGGGGCCTCAGTTTCCCAACGGCTGCCATTGCTCTGTATGAGCCCCACAGTCCCCCTCCAGGAACGACAAGGAGGAGGAATTGGGCTGAAAGAGGCCGGATGGAGCTGTCCAACTTCCAAAGAGAGAAGGAAGCCGGGGGGGGGGGGGCGCTTTGTGAGCGTATCTGCCTCCTCGTGGAAAGGCTCCTCTCTCCTCCTCCGTAGAAGGAAGCTCTCCATGCCCCCCTCGGCTGCAGCCCTGCTGGGCTCCCATTCAAACAGCAGCCAGGCCTGGGGGAGGTGCGGGGGGTGCCCCACGCCACAGAGCTCCCTCCTGGGGCTGGGGCTGACCAGAGGCTCCCTACAAGAGTCCCACTGGCTGGGTGGGGTGTTGCCATTTTGGGTCAGGCCAGTGGGGAGATGGAGGGAGTCTCCCTGGGTGGTGGGGGGTCTTGTCAGCCTCTGTGGGCAAGGGAGAGCTTTCCTGCCCAGGAGCGGTGTGGCTGGTCAATCAACAGGGGGGCTTGGCAGACCCGTCCCCAAAGGCCGGCTGCCAGAAGCCACGGGGGATGGAGCGGCGGGGGGGGGGTCTCCTCTCCCAGCCCAGGAGCTAAGAAAGACCCTCGTGGTTTTGAGAAGCAAATCGTTTATTAAAAATAAGTCCTCTGAGTCTATATACAAACTCCGGCTGAGAGGAAGGTGCATAAGCTTTGGAGGTGCAGTGGGGTGCTCCCCCACCCTTGCTGGGGATGGTGGAGGTGTGGTGGAATCGGGGGGGCAGCTGCTCCTGTGTGGGGCAGGGAGGGTTGGTGGGCTGGATGGGGCCAGGCTGCTCCTGTGCAACACCAAAGTCCCCTCTGCCCCTCTGTGTTGGGTCCAGCCTACCCGTGGGGGGGTGGGGTGGGGGGGTTTGGACCCTGCAGAAATTCAAAAAACACCATGGAAACACAAAAAGGTGCACAGACTTCAGGTCTTCTCTTTAAGGGGTGGGGGGCAGGGGGGGCTCCGGTGGGCGGAGGCCGTGTATCTGGAAGACGTGCAACTTGTCCCTCGGGAGGTGGGAGGGCAACGTGGAGCTGTGGTGGTGATGGGGGGGTCTCCTTTCCTCTGCTGGTGGCCTCCATGGTCGGCCGGCCTCATACGGCACTGCCCAGGCGGCCCAGCGTCTCCACCGCCTTCGCCCGCACTGTCGAAACGGGGTCCTTCAGCAGCAGAGTCAGCGCTGGACAAGAGGAAAGGCCGTCTGTCAAGCGGGAGCCCACTTGCCCCCTAGGCCTCCCCTGAAACCCTCCCCTGACACCCCCCCCAACACCCCATCTGAGCAGCCGTGGGTGGGAGCCGAGCGCTCTCGGGGGCCACGGACCGCCTCGGCCCACGCGGCAGCAGCAGCAGCAGCCGGGGAGGGCTGGGCCGGCTGTCCGGGGCTGCTGCTCTGCCTGCGCCTGGCCCGGGCCCAGCTGCAGAGCGGGCGAGGGGCCAGCAGTCCCTCCCAAGCAGCAGAGATAGAATAATATTTTTCCAGTAGCATGTTTACACTGCAAATCCGAGACTCTCGTCCCGCCACAGCAGCCAGCGAGCGAGCGAGCGAGACGGTCTGATTTATGCACGGAGCTGCTTCCCGTCCATCAGCCCGGCCAGCTGCAGGAGCTGGGAGGGGGGAAGGGGGGGGGCTGGCAGGCTGAGCGCTCGCACTCAAGACGGGAAGCTGTGGCGACCCCATCCGGAGTCCTTGCCGCT